GTCCTGGACCTGAGATGACTGACCTCCAACAACCACGACCATCTTCCTATGTATCAAGTATGACTGTAACCAACGGAGAGTTTTCCGGATGCCCATTCAATCCAGTTTTGCTAGGGTTCTGTGATGCCACAGTCGGTTGAATGCAGCCTTAATGTCAAGAGCTGTCACTCTCACCTCCCCTCACCTCTGGAATTCAGCTCTTTTCACCATGTTTGAGCCAAGCATGTAATGAGATCAGGAGCTGAGTGGCCATGGCAGAACCCAAACTGGTGCCACTGAGCAGGTTATTGCTGAGCAGGTGCTGCTTGATAGCATTGTTGATGACACCTTCCATCACCTTTACTATTGAGAGGAGAGAGGACACTGTTGTGGCGGTAATTGGATGGTTTTGATTTGTCCTGCTTTTTACCTACAGGACATACTTGGACAATTTTCCACATTCAGGTAGATGCCAGTGTTGTAACTGTACTGGAACAGGTTGACTAGGGGAGCGGCAAGTTCTGAAGCACAAGTCTTCAGTACTATCACCGAGATGTTGTCAGGGCCAGTAGCATTTGCAGTATCCAGCGTCTCCAACCGTTTCTTCAACTCAGTTCTGGTTATTTGATTGTGGGAAGAGGAAAAATTGTTGTTTGTTACATTAAAAATATTTTCCTGAAGTACTTGGAGGTGGAATAAAAATGTCATGAGTTTTTTGACGATGATAAAGCTGTGGATGTCTATATGAACTTCAGCAAGGCTTTCGACAAGGTTCTGCATGGTAGACTGTCTAGCAAGGTTAGATCACATGGAACCGAGGAGAACCTAGCCAATTGGATACAAAATTGGCTTGAAAGATAGGAGAAAGAGGGTGGTGGTAGAGGGTTGTTTTTCAGGCTACAGGCCTGTGATCAGCTTGCCACAAGGATTGGTGCTGTGTCCACTACTTTTTATCATTTATGTAAATGATTTGGATGTGAATGTAAGAAGTATGGTTAGTAAGTTTGCAGATGATACCAAATTTGGTGGTGTAGTGGACGGTGAAGAAGGCTATCTCTGAGTACGACAGAACCATCATCAAACGGGCAAATGGGCCAAGGAGTGGAAAATGGACTTCAATTTAGATAAAGGTGAGGTGTTGAATTTTGGTAAGGCAAGTAGGGGCAGGACTTATAAACTTAATGGTAAGGTCCTGGACACACACTCGCTGAACAAGGAGACCTAGGCACACTTGCCTTTATTGGTCAGAACGTTGAGTGTAGGAGTTGGGATGTCATGTTGCGGTTGTACAGGACATTGGTGCGGCCACTTTTAGAATACCGTGTACAATTCTGGTCAACCTTGTATAGGAACTATATTGGTAAACTTGAAAGGATGCAGAAAAGATTACAAGGATATTGCTGGGACTGGAGGGTTTGAGCTATAGGGAGGGGCCGAATAGGCTGCGGCTTTTTTTATATATAAAAACAATTGATGTATACTTTGTGTGAATAAATATCTAAACATAAAATTGTTATGGATAGTATTGCTAAGCATATAAGATCAACTCCTTGAGACATCAAGGTATACAGCATGGAAACAGACCCTTTGGTCCAACTCGTCGAAGCTAAGCAGATATCCTAGATAAGTCGAGCTCCATTTGCCAGCATTTGGCCCATATCCCTCTAAACCTTTCCTATTCATATACCCATCCAGATGTCTTTTAAACGTTGTAATTGTACCAGGCTCCACCACTTCCTCTGGTAGCTCGTTCCACACCTGCACCACCATCTGTGTGAAAAAGTTGCCTCTTAGGTCCCTTTTAAATCTTTCCGCTGTCAGCTTAAATCTGTGCTCTCTAGTTTTGGACTCCCCCACCCTGGGGAAGAGTCCTTTACTATTGACCCTAACCATGCCTGTTATGATTCTATAAACCTCTATAACATCATCCCTCAGCCTCTGATACCCCAGGGAAAGTAGCCCCAGCTTATTCAGCCTCTCCTTATAGTTCAAATCCTCCAACCTTGGCAACATCCTTGTAAATCTTCTCTGAACCCTTGCAGGTTTCACAACATCCTTCCTAAAGCAGGGAGATCAGAATTGCATACAATATTCCAAAAGTGGCCAAGTAGTAATAGTGAAATAGCAGAAATATTAGAGTTACTTTGACTCCATTTCCCTAATGAAAATAATTGAAGTGGACATGTCATGCAAAGAAACATCGGAAAGAAGGTGGAAAGACTAGACAAATCTTTGTTTGGTTAGATTTCCAGAGGACTGGCAGAGAGTTAATACTCTTCTAATCAAAAGGAGAGAATGAACAAATCCAGAGAACTGTATATTAGCTGTATTAATGTTGGTACTGTGGAAGTTTTCAAAGATATGAGAGGAAACAATGTATTAATTGAAAATATAACTAATAACGTATAGTAAGCTTCAATTTGAAAAGGGCAGGTTTTGAACCTACTTGTTGAATTATTTGAATTAGACAAAGGTAATACAATGAATATAATATTTTTGGACTTTGAGAAGTCATGTAGGAGATTCATGCCTAAGATTAGAACATGTGGAATTGGGAGACAAGTAGTAAACTAGATAGCAAACTGCCTGCAAACAGAAAGCAGTATTGGATTTAAGAGTAATTACTCAAAAAAACGTGGAAGATGAGAGGAGTTTTTCCAAATCAATCAGTTCACAATTTCACTGTTCTTCCCTGAATGATTTTGACTCTGGAATTGGAATTACATCAAATTTTGCATATTATACCAAATTTGGAGTATAGCACCGGGAAAGACATGTCAAAGTTTAAGACCTCAGTAACCCAAATTGCGTGAACAACATGTGCGTGGTGATTGCCAGTCATTAGATTACAACTGCCTGCAGACTTTTAGTGAGTTTTATATGGCAACTCGTCATTATCAGGAATCCACATTTAAGATTCTACCTCAATGTTCTGGACTTCCAGCTGAAAATATGATTGACTGTGAAAATCTAAAATCTTTTGATCTTAATACCTCAAATATATCTTTCCCCTTCTAGTTGAATGTAAGCTTTGAGGTGAGATGTCCAGAGCGAGTATATTATACCACTCATGGATAAGACATAAAAAGCATTCTATTTAATTTAGAAACTGATATACAGTTGCATTGCTGGAATCAGTGAAACATCAGTTATTTGTGTTAGATTAAGTCTGATAAATTAGAAAATTAATTTACTGTTCAATTCTCTATGGTTTATTATTCAGCGGATGTAAAGAAGTCACCCAGCTTCTGCGGTAGTTGGTGAATTTCGTATCAATTTGAGATTTATAATGCCAGCTCAAAGTGCAGAGATCTGTGTTAAACCACTGGTTGATTTCAATAACCATTACTTATGTGTTAATGAACTTTTTTCTTCACCTCTTGAAGATATTAAACTGATAGGACATGCACAATATATCACACAATAAAACTATCAGTTCAAAATGCATTACCATTGCATGAAGGAAGGGAGGAATGTTGATTTGAAGTCTGATAGTCTATTGCTGATTGGAGTGCAGAGCAGTGTCATTAATCAGCATTACTCATCCACTCTCATACTAATTTCTGTATTGGTATTTTATTATATTGGCTGGTGTTCTTTGCATAGACTCCATATTGATTTTTCTGACTGACTGGTAGAGAAATGACAGACTGATTGCAGTAGGTGAGATGACCATCAGCTTGATTATCTAATATCAAGATTCCGCTGCAGACTTGTACGCAAAGGATGATGCAGATTAACTGAGTAGTGCAGTCATGGCTAATTTGTAATCCTGTACTGTCAAGCAGAGGATAAAGGACATTTGTAATTGTGAACAGTCAGCTGTTTTGATGCATTTAAAGATTAAAATGCATCCTGTTATTGTACAAGGACACACCATGACATCAACTTTTTTTACTGGCTCCGGTATTTCATTTTCTACGCATGTATCTTGAAAAACACATGATTGAATAAAAGATTTTTTATTAATATTGAATTTTAATCTATTTAATGTTCACTAAGGATTTGGAAAAAGGATGGGGAGATGAGCTTTTAGGTTACTTTCCTTTTTTCTGGTTTTTATTTTTCCAGTATGAAATGTTTATAATCAATCTACCTGCCCTGTCAGCTAATTGTGCTGTATGGCATAAAAGGATTCTATGAAAACTAGGAAATGCTATGGATGAAATTTTCTCTATAAAAGCAAAGTTTGACTAATGTGCTCAGAACACCATCTGCAATGTGCAGTACAAAGGTTCACTTGCTGTGTAAAATGTAATTTTCAAAATGGGGGATTAAAAAAATGCTCTTCCCAAGAAATGAAATCCAAGAATTGCCATTCAAGCTTAGTGTAATTTACCTACAGGTGTTCCATGTCAGACTCCAGCCCAAACGGAACAATTGCCTATTTGGATTTCCCCATGAGCCCATCTGAGACTAGGAATAATGATCAAGCACTAATTGCCCCTGACCACGCCTGTGTGATAGTTTGAAATTTAGTATTCTTGCATTCACCCTGATGAGTGCAAGATGAAATGTTTGGCAACATCTCTATTTTCAGCAACGCTATAGAAATTCAGATATTTTCCTTCAGTTTGCCATGTGTTGTGTGGAACAAACACAAAATGCTGAAAAAACTCAGCAGATCGGGCAGCATTTGTAAAAAAAGAAACTGTTAACGTTTCAAGTCGGAAATGATTATGCTGCAGAACCAAAGTCGTATTGAACTCAAAACATTAACTCTGCTTCTGTTTTCACAGATACTGCCAGACCAGCTGAGTTTCTCCAGGATTCTGTTTGTTTCAGATTTCCACAGTACTTTTTTTATTATTTTGAACGTTGTTTGTGTCATTTAAAAACAATGAATATCCACCAGTTATGGAGTAGTGGAAATGGAGATCACAGTAGATTTTAAAATAAATACACGTACCAGGAGAGATACAGTTTCTTTATGCTCTGCACTTCATTTGCTAACCAACTGCAGTTTGGAAAGTCTTTTTGTAGAATATTTTATAATTTTTTAACCTTCTCTTTTGTTCCAGTTCTTCCTCCAGTGTTGGTTCCAAGACACAGTGAATTTAACCCACAACATAGTCTACTTGCACAGTTTCGTAATTTGGGCCATAATGATCCTCCTATGCCACAAAATGCTGCCTTCCCAGTTTCCTTTCAACAGCCAAACACCCACCCGTTCCCCAGCTCTCCCAACAGAAGTTATCCCAGCTCCCCAGGAAGTAGTACGTATCCTCATTCTCCAGCCAGCTCTGGACCAAGCAGCCCATTTCAGATGCCAGGTAAGAGTCATATTATGTTTTATGATAATATTCCTTAGCTGCCTTTGTTATTGTCTTCATTCTTGTACTAATTACCTAAATTAGATCTAAACAAAGTGGTTTAATTTTACATGCATCTCTTGCCATCATATTTGAACAGGAATTGGTGCCTTTGACATTGTCATTGTGTGCCCACAATGCAATGGAACTGGACCCTTTGTTACTGTCTGTACCTTTGCTGGCCGTGCCTCGCCCACTCTTGCTGCTGGTTGCCCCATCACCCGCTCAGACAGTGGAGCAACAAGTGAGCTTGTGCATGAGATACTAAGGGCTCTTCTTAAGTAGTTTTCTAATTCATTTTAGGGACACCAGGCTACTGCATGAAATAGACTTTAAATATGAAATGATTGTAAAAGTCAACTGTTAGTAACGTTGAAGGGGCTACAACTGCACTGGCTGTGAGGACACACTC